CACCATTTTGAACTTGAGATAGTTTGGCCCCTAATGCTGACTAAGAGGCTTCTGTGTCTAGTATTAATCCTCCATCCCCATCTGGGTACAACAAGCGTTGTGCATCGCAAAAGCCACATCTGACTTCCCAAAAGCTTTCTGGTGCTCCTTTCCTTCCATCAGAAGTCAATTGTAAGCTTGGTGAGCTCGTATAATGGCTATGTTATTCCAACATAATTTGGGACATGGTTTCCATGATAGTTCGCATATCCTAGGAAGGACATCAGCTTGATCCGGTCCACTGGAACCGACCAAGTTCTCACTGGTTCTTACTTTCCTAGGATACATGGAAACCCCGACTCGTTAACGAGGAAAACTGCTTCCTTCTCGAATAAGTCACACTTTTTGGGTTTGTCCATACTTCCGGGAAAATTCAAACGCATTTCTCAGTTTGCTCAGAGTTTCCTGAAAATATTTCCCTAATATCACAATATCATCCAGGAAAACTAGCACCTCAGACCAAGTCAATCCTCAGAGGTCCATCGCACGTTGAAAAGTCACGGGCGCGTTACAGTCCAAATCCGATTCTGGTATTTTCACATAGGCCGTATCTTGTGAAGAACGCTGTTTTTTCTAACGATCTTTTTCATCCAAGATTATTTGGTAGTAACCGGAAGCCATATAAAGTGTTGAGAAATATTTGGTCCCCTTGAGGAGTCCAAACAATTTATCGATGATTGGTAAGGGGAAACCAATCCTTTACAGTTTTGTCATTAAGTGCCCGATAGTCTATGCACCACCTTAGACTCCTCCCTTTTCCCTCACAAGCACTGGTGCTGAGGACAACTTAGAATAGGAGGGTTGCATTACATCTGCAGCTAACATTTTACCTAAATGTTCCTTTTCCTGGTCCCTGAAATGAGTGGGTGTCCGTCTCTTTCTCTGTTTGACTGGTTCTTCATTTCCCGTGTCTATTTATGTGTTACTTCTGTTAGACAATCTATGTCCAAGTCATGTTAGGCTAATGTGTCTTGATATTCAATCAACAAATCTTCAATTTGGCGCTGTTGAGCAGCATCCAACTCCTTGTAGGATCTATTGACTAAGCCTTACAATAACTCAGGTACCCTTGTGTTGATACTTCCGGTTCCTGATGAGGTTTCTGGTTGGTAACCGGATCCGGTTTCTGTGGTGACCAATTTAACGGAACCCATTTCCCCTATAACTAACCTTTCCTTATCTTTATAGACTTATCTGTGTCATTTTGGACACTCATTGCTGTATGTTGGGTTCCAGGGTGAACCAGCGAGTTGCCAACAGTGTTCCGCCAGGGGGTTGGCTAGGTTATATCATGGCCGTACCCTCTGTTGGAAATTCCCAGTCAATCTTGAGGTATCCAACAGTATTTGGGGAATGATTACGGTATGTGTCTATTGATTGGTTTCGCTGTTCCTCCTTACAGGCGGTAAGCGTAATTACCTGATTTTCCATTAGAAGTACCCAAGCATTCAGATTTAACACACAGAGGTCATGGGATGAAAAATCCATTCCTAACAATATGTCGTACATGATGAGGCTTCACACACTGTCCACGGTATGTCAGAGTTTCCAATACCTATGTGTAAGTCCTTTAATTCCCAAACAATCTCTATATTGCCGGTGAAACCATGCAATTGAATTCGCTTTCCAAGTACAAGTGGGCCGCTTAACTTGTCCAATAAACTATGTCAAGCTAGTGTCATGGTGGCAGCTGTGTCCACTATGACGTTGACATGAGTTCCATTTAGGGTAAGTGGTATGACGAGGCTACAACCTTCAGCAACCACTAACTTCACCTTCATCATAGGAGACTGGTTTCTCGATAGTGTATGTGAGAGAGTCGGAGACCTTGATCGACTTGAACAGTTTTCATTGGTTTATGAGGACATGGAGCGAGTCCCCTTGAATTATAGGAACTCCGTCCTCTGTCTTCTTCTTCCTCTATTCCATGTTTTTTGTTGGGCTGATTACCTGTGGAATTCGTCGGTCCCCTCTCAGGTGGCTTTTTCCTCATTGCCTCATTGGTGAATGCTCATGGTAATCAGGTGACCAGTTACGGTTCTAAGCCTCGTTCCTGGCTTGATGTTGTACACATCCTTTATCACTATACTTAGCTTGGTTGTTCCCCTGATTTCGAGGTGACTACCTCAACCGGTTATCTTGGTTACCTGCCCGGTTACCAATGGGGTATGTGGGTAACCAGAATGATCTTTCCTATACAGACGTGGTAAATATGGACTCTGATATCCGGTGCCTGCATGGATAAGTGATAATGATTGTCAACTCTTTCATTTCTCGTTGAAATGTTTTTGTTATTTTCTTTTCGACATAATCTTTAGTACCCTCAATTAACTCCACCTGCCTGGCTGGGTAGTGTGTGACTTGAGACCCAAACAACGTTCGTTGGCTAATAACCGATGCCTTAATGTATTTAAGCGCCTTGTGTATTGTCTAAGGGTTCCTTTCCATCGTACGTTGTGCCGCCATATTTTCTCTCCAGCCTTTTAGGAATACTTCCGTAGCAAGCTGTTCTTGTGTGATGTGGTCAGCGGGAGCAAACACGTCTGATGTCAAAGTCAGAGCAAACCCGGCTAAACTATCAGTTTCTTCCTGTTTGACATACTGGAGTTCTCGGCAGGCCACCCCAGGGACATCTTTATTGCTAAATCTCTCATTCATCTTCTGTTTCAATCTTCGGAAAGACAGTAAAAAAAACGAGTAATTGTTTTACAGTCCGATCATGCGTTTTCCTCAGTTATACGTTCGAACTTGAGGGCAAAGGGCATATTTCATATGCATCCTATAAGAAAAAACAGCAGAAGCTAAAAAAAATGAAAGAGGGAGATAGAAGTATTAGAAGCCAGTGCAAATCCGAACACTGAGGTGTTACAGGCAAAAATAAAAGTGCTGTCAACAAAGTATAAATTTGGAAAAAAATAAGAAAATATTATTAGAACAAGAGCAAAGTGGATAGAGGAGGAGAGAAACCCACCTCTTATTTTCTCAGCCTTGAAAAGATTTCATGTCAGGGCGATATATAGGGAAATATATCCGAGCATTATATGGTGAAGAAAATATTCCAGGTATCCTATTCTCAATAGATTTTTAAAAGCGTTTGATTCTGTTGCGCGGGTGTTTCTTGAAAGGGTTTTGAATTATTTTAATTTTGGAGATATCAAAAGATTAATTAAAACATTTCATTATTATGTTTATTCATCAATAAATCAGTTTGGTAATATATCTGCTATCAACGATGATGATAACGACGACGACGATGATGATGGTGATGTCATATTTGTGAATGTTGGTGTATGTTATGTCTTGTTATATTTATGTATCATACAAAATTAAAATAAATAAATAAATAAATAAATGTGCTTGTGCATATATGAGATCTATATCGTTACTTACTCATGAGCTACAACAGGTCATTATCATACTAGGCATTCTACCATTCTTAAACAACGACCGTACAACAAAGTCAATATCATGCAAAATGAGGCATATGTAAAAATGAACGTACACAAATTATCCACAGAATTGCAGAGAAATGCAACACTAGTATCGTTTCTTAAAGCTACGTGTATATAGCAGATATACAGGTAACGAATGATCCGGAAAAGGTAGTAGTTAAAAAGACTTTGTCAAAATAATGTTACCATTATTTTGGAAAACATCACTCAGTTCCGCAGTGTTAAGTTTGAGGCTTTCCATGGTAACTGAGCAGTCATTCTCAGTTAACAGGAGCTCATTCACACGTGTCTTTACTCGACGCCGTCATCTTGATGATGATGATGATGATGGCAAGATTTTTTTTTCAGTTATTCCTTCTATTGCCATGTAAATAATTTTAGCTACTCATTTAAAAAAAAAAAAAAAAGGAATGTTAAGATTTTTCGGGCTGCACTTTAGAAACCATCAAACTTATTTCGACTAGACTTTGTATATGTGTATCACGTTTGTGTCCTAATTCTGTTTTTACTATTGGCGAAATGTCCTCATTAATATTGTTTTCACTGATAAACTTACGGTTATGATAAATGAAAGAGAAAAAAAGTTTTGTATCGCCAGAAGCCTGCTGAATCTTCTGATAATATATTACAGGTAATGTAATTAAAAACACACACAAATGCTGGTCAGCACTGATTTCTGGGCAATAAAGGGTTTTTAATTAGGTTGTCCATGACTTAATATTGATTTTAGTATGTAGATATGTAGAAATCATGTATATAAATTCAACATACTACCTAAAATATTTACATTTCGTTTCGAATCAAACACTTCAAGTGTGATTTATTTTACTTTGACAGAAATACTTAATTATATACTCTATCACTCAAGCGAGATTTAATTGCATCAATGACCTTTTGTGTGTTGACTGGCCGTTAAGAATATAACAATAATTAAATCAACAAATTCACTGAGTTATCAGTATAAACCGCGCCAAAATTATCTGACGTCTATCTATCGACTTCTACTTGATAAAAAGTAACAAAAAAATATTGCTGTTTCTTGTCACTAATTACAGTTTTATAAATTCACATGACAGTCGGCCAGTATACCGATTTGTCAGAAAATGGACTTCATTTAAAAAAAAAAAGGGGAAAAAAACACACCATCATATAATCCCAAATATCAGCTGGACATGTTGTTTACAGTCAGAGACGTATTTATCACATATATGTGTTATATATGTCTCTGATAAAATACGTCCCTGGTTTGACAGTACAAAGATTTGATTTGAACTTGAAGTAACGAAAACGAGGCATTTTATAATATATATTGTATAATTTATTAATTCAACAATAACATGTTTATTTCATAACACACTATGAGATGGTTATATAAAAGTGCACTGCGAGGTCGAACACTGTATCTGACCCCAGATTTTCAGATTCCGTTAACCAATCAGTTTTGAGTATAAAGTCATGTGACAGTTACGCAAGTCTCATCACACAGGTTCATGTGTCTCGAAGTCCTGGATGATATGTAATGTCACTGGTATCGTCCGTAAGGCGTCAAAAATGGTCGATCTTGCCAAACAAGCATTCAGCACGAACAATTTTGAGTTGGCTGTGGATGTATACGAGAGAACAATCAGAGAAAATGGTCCATCATCTGAATTGTACTTCGGATTGGGAGATAGTTATGCCAGAAGTGGTCACTTTGAAAGAGCATTCGAATCTTATTGCAGTGCTTTTCGACTAACAAATACAGTTCGACCAGGAGCATTGAAACATTTAGTCACAGCCCTAGTAGAGGCTGTTAAACAAGATTCTGTTGTTGAAGACGCCATGATGAACAAAAATTGTATATTCACCTGTGTGCTATGTAGAGGATTACTTAACGAACCAGTCACAATCCCCTGTGGACACACATTCTGTAGGAAATGTTTAGAACGAGAACAAACTAAACCATGTAAAAAGTGTGGGACCGTGAATCATTTCTTAAATGTGTCGTCTATCAAAACAAACGTATTGTTAAAACAGGCTGTTGAAGTGTATTTTCCATCAGAATGCAAAGCGCTTCGGTTGAAATATGAAGGAAATGTTTACTTTGAAAGAAGGGACTTCGAAAAAGCAATCGATCTTTACAACGAGGCAATCTTATTAGGTTTGTTTTTTTATTTTACTGTCATATAATCTCACTGTTGTATTTATAATTCCACATCATAACCCGTTTCATAACAGAAATCGTTGACCGGAAGTTAGAAAGCTTACATAAGATGTCAACTTCCGGTAAGTTGTAAACACGATGTAGCTTTGCTTAGCCCGGAAAGTGTTCCGAAGACGCGCTCAGATGTGAATAGCACCATGTAATACAAATTGACAGTAGAGCTTAGCAAAGCATAAATTTATATAATCAAGATGTGTTGTCCTGTTAGGAGTTAAGCTTAGAGTCCTTTGACGATGTATTAGTAGGAATTAGGGCTGCCAAAGAGCGACTATAACCTGAAGAATATTAAGAGATGCAAATTTCGCTAGGTTGTTTTAACAATGCAACCATACCTTCATAAAAATGTACTTTTCTCTGTTAAACGTTAATTGCTATGCTAAAATCGCTGAAAAATGATGTACTGGTATGTAACTATAATAGTGTGTGTAAGAATTGCAATGATATCATCACTGAAAACATGTACATATACTCCAAAAAATAAATAATTTGTTTCAGCACCTTTACTCTAGCTGGCGTATTTAAATTTTGGGTTTCGAGAACACTTTTAAGCATTAGGATATTTTAAAGCAGTAATATTCATGACTTGCAATCGCAATGAAATGGACAGGAGGTAGTAATGACAAAAATGAGTAGGCTTATGGTGTTTCCCCGGGAAAAGGACTTTGTTTTTCTTTTATTACCGTATACAGGGCACATCTTCATGGTTTCAAAAAAATTCCACCTTACATTGGATTCAATTTCCTACTTTTGAAAGTTGTAACAATGTCTGAAGACGGAGAATCAGATTTGCGCTGTCAGGCATGTCATGGAAAAGGATGACAATCGCTTAAAGGATATTATCACAATGTGTTTTTATTACATTAAGTTCATAAAACTTGTATCACTTGTTTATGACAAATAATATGCCACATGTTGCTTCGTATTTATCCAAATCAAATGATATTAACCCTTTCGTGCCGGTTTCGCTGTTGGGGACATGAGTTATGTATGTTTGGAATCGTCCATCATCCACTCGTTCCAGGCAGTGCACAGGGAGATCTTCATGGGTTTGTTCACTCCTACATCGAGGGGTTGAAGGATGCTGGTCATTCCTCCGGGTATGATGGCGACTTGTGTGTTGTTGCCGGACAGTTTTTCTTTCACATATTGGCCTCGGTGACATCGAAATGAGTCTAGAACTAGAAGGTTCTTCTGGCGAGTATTAGGTCTCTTCCCCCACTTGATCCGCAGCCACTCTTTCATTGATGTTTGATTCATCCAACCCTTTTCATGGACGCGTACAATCAGTCCCTTTGGGAAGTTTCCAGTGGGTAGGGTCTTTCTCTTAAAGATGACGTAAGGCGGAAGTTTCGTGCCATCGGCCATATACGCTAGCATCACTGTGAATCTATTTTTTTCGTTTTCCTGTCGTTCGGATGGACACGGTCTTACTATTTGTCGGGGCTATGGTAGTGTCTGAGGGGAGATCGAATGTGAGTGGTGTTTGGTCTGCATTCCCAATCCTTGACGGGTTAATTTCGTATTTCTGCCTCATTTTGATTATATATCTCTGGAATTGTATCAATTTGTTTTCATAGTCATCCGGAAGTTTTTGTGCAATTGTCGTTCTCCTCCGGATACTTAACATGTGTCTTTTCAAAAATCTGACAGCCCATCCCATTGATGCCGTAAAGTCGGTGACCCCATAACCTCTCTTGATCTGCATAGCCCGCAGTTGCAGTTCCGTTGTACTGACAGCGATGCCGGAGTTGAGAGCAATAGGCCATTTTCAGCAGGTTTTAATTTAGTCATTGTAATAAATAAAGAGTGTCATCCTGTTCATAGATATAAATGGGAGGGTTAAGGGATGAATGATGAAGGAAAAGCTATTAAGAGACCGTATTTTTAGAAATATTTTTGTAAATCAATTAAAGCAAAGTGATAATGATATCAGCGGTATAATATTTCATGTTTTGTATTCCAGCCCCAAATGATCATCTTTTACTAAGCAACCGTTCACATGCTTTTGCATCGTTAGACAAAAATGAGGAAGCTTTGAGAGATGGTGAACTTGTCATAAGACTTAGACCAGACTGGCCCAAGGTGAGTTGTCCCATACTGTATAAGAGATTTTATTTCATATGCATGTAATTTGAATTTTTGCAATCTTCACATGAACATTACATTTTGAATCTGAGAATGGACTGCTGATAATTCACAGCTCAGATTTGTCCCATTATACATTTTTGTTGCACATGTACATTAAAATACATGAAGGTTTCTCCTTAAGCAAACGACTTATGGTTGTTAAATGATGTATCATTGGTTTTCAGGGCTATTTTCGGAAAGGTTGTGCTCTGTATGGACTTGGTCAGTATGGTGATGCAGTTGTTGTCTTACTTCAGTGTCTAGCAATGGATCCTACAATCAACTTAGCAAAAAACTACTTAAATAAAGTGAGTGGATATATTACCATTTGATATGGGGGAAACAAAGCAATCAGAATTTCCAATTCACACAAACAATATTAAATTTGAGATGTAAAAATGTTAAGCAGGACAGACTAGTCATGTATTTAAGTATAATGTTTATAGTTTATGTTTGAAAGAGTACCAAGATTAAATATTTTCAAAATTTTCAATAAAGGCAAAATATGTAAAATTTGAAATCAAGTTAAAAAGTGAGAAAAAAATTTGAAGTGCTTTGCATTAAATTTAAAATATAGTACAGATTATGCATATTCATGCTTAATTCTTACAGTTATGTTTGAAAGTGTTAATTGATTAATGTGAATCAATGTTATCTTATTTAACAGGCACTCTACAAAATTTTCTCTCCTTTGCCGTCTAATGACCCCAAAATGGGAGTCCTATCAAGCCACCTTAGTCCAGCCAAGCTGCAACAGCTGATCAAATCCAATTTCAGCTCCGCCTTCCTACAGCCAAATATGGCAATGGACACGATATTGACACTGAAAAACATCATTAAGGAAACCGTCACTACTGCCACATCATTTGCTGTTACTAATCAGGAACACATGCCACTCTTTGAAAAGGTAAAGATCTTGTTGTGAATGTTCTGTCTCTTGCAGAAGAAGTTATTTGATGGGGAAACCAAAATGGGCTCTGCAATTTGATTTGAATTTTAAATTCGTATAACTAATCAGTATGAGTCGTGTACACTGAAATGAGTTTGTCTGTTTGTTCATTTGAACTTGTATGGAAACCTATGCATTAGCTGTAGGCTAAAATCAATTGTCATAGCTCTCCCTTGAGTTTGCACATCTGGTATTGTTTGTGATATCCCAATTAAAATTGGTCACAGTCTTTGAATAAAAAACATGTTGATGTATGGAGAGAATCTGTTAAGATATTAATGCATTTAACTGTTTTCAGCCTGATCAAGAGGAACCTGGAACTAGCTCATCTGCATCTTATCAGGAGGAGGGAGTTTCTCATTGTAAGTGATGTTAATGAAATTAAATATGTGAGTGGTGTTACAAATATTTTCTTCTTGATTAAATTTAAAATTAATTCACACATATTCAAATTTTTGCATATGAATGAAATGTATTTATGTTGAAATGCTCTGAATAGCCATTAAAATGACTTATTTTGAATTGATGGCTCTACAGGAACAGCTAACTAATACTATATACCACCATACAAGACAGGTTATCATTTGAGTTGATCATCTGAATATTTTGTCATCATCATCGTCATGACATTTTAGATTTATCTGAAAATACACATTTCTATAAATATTCCTAATTATTTTACAGCCACATCTGCCCCAAACTCAAGAAGTGGGTCACCATATTTAGAACAGAGACGGTCAAGATCACAGTCACCACCCAGTCAGGGTCAAAAACGCTCCAGAAATATCAGTGGCACTTCCCCTACAAGTCCAATGCAGGAGTTGCCTTTCAAACTGCACAGTAGGTTGACGTGTATACTTAAGGGATGCCACTACGATAGAAATTACCATTCAAATATTCATCTGATGACATATTCAAATACTTGTTTTCATGTCAATTCCATATGGTATGCAATTTTCACTCCAAATGGCAGTCGTTACGCTCTAAGCCTACTTTATGTTAACGATAGTTGCTGCCATGTGATCATGATAAACCCAAAAGGGTCAAGATGATGTCCGTAAATTTTTCTTTTAAAATGCTGCTCCTGCTTAAAGGGGAAATTAAATATTTTGCTTCAAAACGTTACTCCTTATTATTTTTACAGAAAATGATCCTAAATTGCCTGTAGATGCTGTTGAAATCAAACCAGAACTGCTAAACAAAGAAGACTTCGAATGCAGTCTATGCTACCGTCTTTTGTATGAACCAGTGACCACCCCCTGTGGCCATGCTTTCTGTCGTCATTGTCTCGACCGCTGCCTTGACCATCAGACCCAGTGTCCACTGTGTAAAAGTTCCCTAGCTGAGGTATGATTTTACCTGAAGGGTAGACGTATTTAGTGTTGTAGGTTTTGATGAAGTCTCAATTTGACTTTTATCGTTTCATTGATAACTAGGTAAAATGCCCACTTTATAACCTAAATACTGATATTTAATTAAATTACTTCACAATCATTAGTCTGTAAATGGCATACCTCTGGACACCAAAAAAGTAATCCTTTCTGTAATGTAAAATGAACTTATTTTATTTTTGCAGTACTTAGCAGAGAGGAGGCAAACAATTACGGAAAACATTGCTGGGATAGTGGAAACTTACTTTGGAGAAGAATTGGAAATACGCAGGAAAATTCATGAAGATGAGATGGAAGAACTTTCAAGGTATTCATTTGTAATAAGAATTTTTTGTTTGTTATCCTGCATCATCCGTTGCTGTGCGGCATTCAATGTTAATGCTTTAACACATGACTCCTGCTTAACCCTTAAGCAGATTTCAACCAGATTTGGTCTGAAACTTTATTAGGGGTGGAGGATCATTTCTTAGATTCAGAAATTTTATTCGACCCCGAGGAACCTTGGATGGGGCCCAAAAAATGGTAGCTTTGATTAAAAACCCTACACTTCCTTAATGCTTGGATGGATTTCATTCAAATTATGTCTGAAGCATCAATAGCGGTTGGCAAATCAAATAATTCTTCAATTCAGAAAATTGATTTGACACCGAGGAACTTGGGGATGGGGCCCCAAAAGGGGAATATACAATATTGTGTTCAAAACACTTCTATTTAATGTGTGAATGGATTTCAACAAAATTTGATCTGAAACATTATTAAGAGTGGAGAATCATTTCTTAAAAACAGAAACTTTATTTGACCTCAAGGGACCTGAGGATGGGCAGAGCCCCAAATGGGAAAGTTGGTCAATATTTTGCTTCAAAATGCTATTCTTTCTTACTGCTTGCCAGTAAAAACTATTATTCTTTCCAAGCTTACATCCATACTTATGATTTTACAGAATGGTGACAGACCAGCATGAGATCCCAGTATTTGTCTGTACCATGGCATTCCCTGGGATTCCCTGCCCACTACATATATTTGAGCCTCGATACAGACTGATGGTGCGACAATGTATGGAGTCTGGCACTAGGCAATTTGGCATGTGTACTGGCAATGGTGATTCTGAGTAAGTATTTCATGAGTCAAAGCAATAGTATGTTCAGGGTCTGAAATATTTTTTTCATGTGTACATGTAATCAGCATTCTGTGTAACATACTGATCCGGGAATAAGACCATGCTTGATATTAAGCCCACCCATATGTATTGAAAGTATTCAGTAGTTGTAATAACAATTTCTGTATCATTATCCTGTAGTGAGTCTGTGATATATTACCATAATGTATTGAATTATTCAGTTGTCCTGTTAACAACTTCTATATCATTGTCCTGTGGTGAGTCTGTGATATACTACCATAATGTATTGAATTATTCAGTTGTCCTGTTAACAATTTCTATATCATTGTCCTGTAGTGATCTGTGATATACTACCATAATGTATTGAATTATTCAGTTGTCCTGTTAACAATTTCTACATCTTTGTCCTTTTATATACTTCTCGTGATAGGTAACATGATGTATGATTAACTAAAATTCCACATGCATTTTCTAACATATTAAAGAAGAGATTCAAAACAACTAAGTCGACATTTCTTTATTTTCAGGGGAGATTTTTCTGAAATAGGTTGTATGCTTGAAATTCGAGATGTACAATTCTTCCCTGATGGAAGATCTTTAGTGGACACAATTGGAGGCAAGCGGTTCAAAGTGATCAGTCGAGGCCATAAAGACGGCTACAATACAGCCAAGGTAGAATTCCTGAGAGACCAACCTCTCCCAGAGCAAGATCATCATCGTAAGTATAGAACAGTTAATACTGTCTACATCTCAGATTATACAGAAATAGTGTTTAATGAACCTCAAAAATACTCACAGTCTTGTCCACAGGGAACTGTTGGGACACTAACATTGATGTGTATCACTGGATGTCACATGTTACATAAATGTTTCAGTATCATTAGATGTCACCTGTAACATAATTGTTTCTGATAGTATCATTAGATGTCACCTGTAACATAATTGTTTCTGACATTGTCATTAGATGTCACCTGTAACATAATTGTTTCTGACATTGTCATTAGATGTCACCTGTAACATAATTGTTTCTGACAGTATCATTAGATGTCACCTGTAACATAATTGTTTCTGACATTGTCATTAGATGTCACCTGTAACATAATTGTTTCTGACAGTATCATTAGATGTCACCTGTAACATAATTGTTTCTGACAGTATCATTAGATGTCACCTGTAACATAATTGTTTCTGATAGTATCATTAGATGTCACCTGTAACATAATTGTTTCTGACAGTATCATTAGATGTCACCTGTAACATAATTGTTTCTGACATTGTCATTAGATGTCACCTGTAACATAATTGTTTCTGACAGTATCATTAGATGTCACATGTAACTTAAATGTTTTGGTATCACTGGATGTCACATGTAACTTCAATGTTTTGATATCACTGGAAGTCACTTGTAACTTAAATGTTTTTGTGTCACTGGATAGCACATGTAACTTGAATGCTTTGATACCATTGATGTCACCTGCAACAAAGATGTTCAGGTATCATTAGATGTCACATGTAAGATGGGTGCTTGGGTATATGTAGATAACATTAGTGTATTGTGTTACATGCAGAAGTTTGTCAAAAGTAAAGACTTTAAAAGCCTGTTCAATATTTTATCTGTCTATTTTAGGTATGAGTGTCCTTCAGACTGAAGTGTATGGGTTGGTGCAGTCCTGGCTAGAAAAACTCTCTGGCATGCAAAGAGAGCAGATTCTCAAACATCTGGGACAGCTACCAGCACTTGATCAGGATTTCCATAATAACCTTAATGGTAGCTCCTGGCTGTGGTGGACACTATCAGTACTCCCTCTGGACACTCGAATACAGATGACCATGCTAGCAATGCGTTCATATGAAGAGAGACTGAATGGAATCAAACGTATCTTGATGTACATGCGAAGGCAGCAATGACTAGGGCTGTCTAGAATTTTTCTCAGTTATGATAAAATACTTATCATCACTTTAGTAGGTATAGTGGTGGTATTTCAACACTGGTTAGGTAGTGGAAGTGTATGAGTAAGGTTAACTCAGAACTGAGATGAGTGATGTTAAGTCACAGTGTATGTGGCCCTGGTCACATACAAACAAATGATGTACAGTCACAGTGTTAGTGGCTCTGGTCATAGAAATTTGATCATCAATCAGATTGTATGTGACCCTGATCACAGACAAATTGTGTACAGTCACAGTGTATGTGACTCTGTTTCTGTTTCTTGAACCTTATTTATTGTACATGTTAAACTGATAACATTACTGGTAGACAGAAATCAGCTTGTATTACTATGTTCCAAGGGCTGCTTTAAAACTTTTTATTTGATTCATTACATAATTAATTTAGCTTAAATGAAGGTGCTGCATTGAAAAGAAATCTTGCCAAGAAAAAAACTCTGTCAGTGACAGAATCTATCTTGACTGCAGTCTCATGTTTATTTTTAATTCTTCCAACTGAAAACCATTTGAAAAACAAATCACTGAAGATAGTTTTGGCTACAGTTCAAGGTTTCCTGTTTGTTTTTTCCTGGGTTACACCTTTTCTCTGTATCCTACCTCTGAAGAAAGTATCAGGGACAAGTTATTGAAGGGCTTTCATGTCTAAATTACACAAAGTCTCACCCCCTCCTAGTTTGCATGTACAATGGTAAGTGGTCTGAGCTTGATGGTAGGACATTTTATGTTGATTACTCTTTTGAACTTTTTTTGTTATTTCCTTGTGTTAAGGACTGTGAAAAATAAGGAATTAGCTATTCCTTTTGCAAGCGACATTGGCGTTCATTGTTTTTATCATGTATCAGGAACATGTTTATCCTTTACAACGGTTGCTGGACTTATTGAAGGTTTATTAATGCTAAAATTGTCTATCTGTTTTATGAGGAAAAGCATCTCCGTGGCCTTCCAAATTTATACATTAGTACAGTACTATACCTTCAGGTAAAATGTAGGTCACTGTCACCTCAGTTTTCTGTTTCACTGATTTCTATGTTTTCATGTTGATCTCCATTCTCATCAAAGCCAGGTCTATATGTTGATGAATGTGTTGGAAACCTGTTTAGATGGAAGAAGTTGACAACCAGTGAATGCTACCAAAATCTATTGAGGTATTCAGGATTAAGGTTCTGCAGTTTCTGTCATAAAATGTACATCGTCAAATTTTATATTCAGATAAAAGAATGTATATCCCAGTGAGTCCATAACTATACTCTCAGTAGAACTTCGTCAACCTTTCATCAAAACAAATCGCATAAAAAATATGTATAAAGATTAAGTGATTACGAACATGAGTGTTAAGCATTAGCAATTTTATTCTTAATTGCTAGATGAATGTTTATAACTTACATATTTATCATCTGAATTTTAATGAAGATATTTTTCAAAGATTGCTGTGATATGTAAAATATCTGGTAATCCCAGTAGGTTGTAATTATTTGTTATGCAAGTACATTTATATCATGGACATATCAGGTATACACAGACTAATCTCAGCAGGATTCAAAGGTATACAGATTATGGGCTATTCAAATCGTCTGTGGTCTGTCGTCTGTCTTCGAACAATTTTTGTTATCGCTATTTCTTCATAAGCACTGGATGGATCTTTCTCAAATTTCATATGTAGGTTCCAATTGGGCCCTAGTTGGGTTCGTTTGATTCTTGGTCTGATCAAAAAACAAAAATGGCCGACAGGTGGCCATCTTGATTTTGACTTTGCAAATTCGTTATTGCTATTACTTGAGAAGTAAGGAATGGATCTTGAAATGGATTTTGACTTTGAAAGTTTGTTATCGCTATTTCTTGAAAACTTCTGTAAAGATCTTTCTCTAATTTCATGTGTTGGTTCCTTTGGTCTCTCCTTGTGCCTGTTTGTTTTTGGGACTGATCAGAAGATCTTTAATTCTGCAAAGGAATGTTCAAATTTCTTATCAATAAGAGCAAGAAAAGAAAAGAAAAGATAAAAGGAGGGAAAAGATAAAACTTTCAAAGAGCAAAAGTTCAAACACTGGTGGGCGCTGAGATCCCTCTTATATCTCTTGTTTATTGATTTTATGAATTACTTAAGTATGGATTAACCAGGAATTTCTTGCACACACATTTTAGGTGAAGGACACAGCTGAAATACCATTTTCTCTGTTTCATGCTTGCAATATCTGGGCTACCATTTTATTCTGTATCAATTGAATGTTGATTGATCAGTGAAATCAATGAATATTGACCAAGGAAAGCCAGTCTCCTTCCTGCCTTTCTGTGGGCCAAAGCAAATTTGGATAATTTTAAGAAAACATATTTTTAATTCTTAGTATGCTCTTTGTGAACCAGCTTATTAACTTGATAGGTTTTTACTGGTATTCTGATATAAACTATTAATGATTATTATTATTTTTATTTATGGTCAATTTCGAGTCAAAGACTCGTTTTATATATGATCTAGAATATTGTAAGTATATGTATATACAATGTAACTACAGTGATAACCTGATGATGTGAGTTCTTACGAGTGCAATATGTGATCATCAATTTTTGTTGGGTATATGTTATTGCTAAATATGAGGAAGGGACAGATATACAAATATCTTAAGAAAGTGACCACTGTGTTTTTAATGGGAGTGTCACCTAAGGATAATGAAAGTCACATGACATAATTAGTCACATCTTCTCATGTGTTAGTGGAAAAATTAATGTGAACTCCAAACATCTTGTAACAGGTGGTTGTTTTTTTGTTTGCAAGAACTGAAATATCCCAACTTGGTATAAATGTGATTTTGTTTTTTATCAAGTAATATTCTGTATTTGTAAATCCATCCTTTGCTCATTTTTAATCTTTTTTTTGTAAAATTTTTATATTCTTTATTAGCCGCACTGTTTTATACCAAAAGACTTGTTTTGCATCAAGGAACTAACCCTTTAAACATTTAGTGGACACTTCTATAAAAGATAAAGTAGTACTTATTGAGTGAGCCATTTTTAAAAAAAATGGAAAAGTTAACAAGTTTGTGATTTAAACAAACTATGAACCAGTGTGTGATCGATCAACATAGTGAAGGTCTGTGAGTTAAATTAACAAAGCACTAGTGTGTTATCTGATTGACAAATTGAAGGTCGATGATTTAAATTAACCATGAATTAGTCTGTGACCTAATTTACCAATTGAAGGTTAATGACACTAAACAAATAATTAACTGGTCAACAAATGGAAAGTTGATGAATCAAATACACAGAAATTAATGTGTGAATTGATCAATGAATTGAAGATCGATGAGCTGAATAAACCATGAACTAATGTGTGAACTGATGGACAAATTGAAGATTGATAAAGGATCCTGATGCTCACAACTTTTTGTTATGTATTATTGGTCAAATTACAAGGACATCATATCAACATTTGTGATTGATGCAGCCATCCCTTTAACCTCCACTTCCCTGTTGTTTGTGTTTGTGGTAATCAGACCAGTTAGACTGAATGTGATATATATGGTTTATACGATCATTTAAAACTTTGTACCAAACAGTTACAGTTAATTAACAGCCAGAGGAGAATTGTACTATGGTCATAGACCTTTCTGTGAGAAATGATGTTTTGATGGAGTCCCGATTCAAATCATGGCATTAACAAGTTTTTAGTGTAAGTAGCGTATGTATGATGAAAGTTGAACATGTGACATGTTATTTTATTAAGAACTGTAATAAACAATGCAATCAAATTTTGATTATCTGTGTCCTTCTTAGCTCACCTGGCCAATAGGGTCAAGTGATCTTATGCCGTGGTGCGTTGTCCAACCATCGTAAACTTTTTCCTTTTAAACATCTTATCAATAACAAATGGACAAAATGTTCTGAGGATGAAGCCAGATAAAGTGTACAAAAAGAAATGACCTTGACTAATATTCAGTCACATTGGTCAAATGTGTTAAAACTTTTTAAACGATTTCTTCTAATGAACCAAAAGGCATTGAGGAATGATATTTGGCTGGTATGCTCCTAGTTTGAAGGCTGTCAAAGAAATGACATTGACCTGTTTTCAAGGTCAGAAGGGTCAAATGTGTTAAAACCTTACGACTCCTCATGAACTAAAAGGCCTGGAGGAATGATATTTGGCTGGTATGCTCCTATTTTGAAGGCTGTCAAAGAAATGACATTGACTTGTTTTCAAGGTCAGAAGGGTCAAATGTGTTAAAACCTTACGACTCCTCATGAACTAAAAGGCCTGGAGGAATGATATTTGGCTGGTATGCTCCTGGAATGAAGGTCATTAAAGTTTGTGAAAAGAAATGACCTTGGCCTAATTGTTTGGCTGGTATGTTCTTATGATGAGTCCCGACAAAGTTGGAAAAGTAAATGCCCTTGACCCAGGTTCAAGGTCACAGAGCCAATTTTTTAAAAAACACTTAAATAACTTTATCTTATGAACTAAAAGACAGAGAGGCATGATATTTGGCAGGTATATTTATATACCAAGTGAGTGCTGCAGGCCCATTGGATCTTATGTTTCATGCTGTCAAACAATAAAATTTTTATTAGCTCACCTGGTCTGAAGGTGTTATAGGTTCCTTGGATGAAGCCTGACAAAGTTTGCAAAAAGAAATTACTTTGACTCTTACTCAATGTTACAAGTGTCAATTTTGTTTGAACCTGTAAACGACTTCTGACTTCCCGGTAACTGAAAGGCACAGAAGCATGAAATTTGGCTGATATATTCCTATGAAGCCCAACAAAGATCGAGAAAAGAAATGACCTTGACCCTTATTCAAGGTTACAGGGGTCAAGTTTGTTAAAATCTCAAAGTGACTTATTTTGACTAACCAAAAGGTGCAGAAGCATAGTTTTTGTCTGTTAGATTTGTAGGATGATGCCCAAAAATATCTGCGAGAAGAAATGACCTTGACCCATATTGAAGGTCTAAAGGATTTAATTTGTTGAAACCTGGTAAAGATTTCTTCCAAGATGTTCAAGAAGCAAGATATTTGATTGAAAAGTGTTTCTGGATCATTGCCAAACAAATTTTGTATTAACAGAAAGAAGAGAAAGAAGTTCTATATAACATCAATAAATACAGACAGTAGAGATCTATATAACATCAACACAGACAGTAGAGGTCTACATAACATCAATACAGACATGGAGGTCTATATAACATCAATACAGACAGTAGAGGTCTATGAAACATCAGTACAGACAGTAGAGGTCTATATAACATCAATACAGTCAGTAGAGGTCTATATAACATCAATACAGACAGTAGAGGTCTATATAACCTCAATGCAGACAGAAGAGGTTTATAAAACATCAACACAGACAGTAGAGGTCTACATAACATCAATACAGACATGGAGGTCTATATAACATCAATACAGACATGGAGGTCTATATAACATCAATACAGACAGTAGAGGTCTATGAAACATCAGTACAGACAGTAGAGGTCTATATAACATCAATACAGTCAGTAGAGGTCTATATAACATCAATACAGACAGTAGAGGTCTATATAACCTCAATGCAGACAGAAGAGGTTTATAAAACATCAACACAGACAGTAGAGGTCTACATAACATCAATACAGACATGGAGGTCTATATAACATCAATACAGACATGGAGGTCTATATAACATCAATACAGACAGTAGAGGTCTACATAACATCAATACAGACAGTAGAGGTCTACATAACATCAATACAGACAGTAGAGGTCTATATAACATCAATACAGACAGTGGAGGTCTATATAACATCAATACAGACATGGAGGTCTATATAACATCAATACAGACAGTAGAGGTCTACATAACATCAATACAGACAGTAGAGGTCTACATAACATCAATACAGACATTAGAGGTCTATATAACATCAATACAGACATTGAGGTCTATATAACATCAATACAGACAGTAGAGGTCTATATAACATCAGTACAGACAGTAGAGGTCTATGAAACATCAGTACAGACAGTAGAGGTCTATATAACATCAATACAGTCAGTAGAGGTCTATATAACATCAATACAGACAGTAGAGGTCTATATAACCTCAATGCAGACAGAAGAGGTTTATAAAACATCAACACAGACAGTAGAGGTCTACATAACATCAATACAGACATGGAGGTCTATATAACATCAATACAGACATGGAGGTCTATATAACATCAATACAGACAGTAGAGGTCTACATAACATCAATACAGACAGTAGAGGTCTACATAACATCAATACAGACAGTAGAGGTCTATATAACATCAATACAGACAGTGGAGGTCTATATAACATCAATACAGACATGGAGGTCTATATAACATCAATACAGACAGTAGAGGTCTACATAACATCAATACAGACATTGAGGTCTATATAACATCAATACAGACAGTAGAGGTCTATATAACATCAGTACAGACAGTAGAGGTTTATATAACATCAATACAGACAGTAGAGGTCTATATTACATCAACACTGACAGTAGAGGTCTGTATAACATCAGTACAGACAGTAGAGGTCTATATGACATCAGTACAGACAGTAGAGGTCTATATAACATCAATACAGACAGTAGAGGTCTATATAACATCAGTACAGACAGTAGAGGTCTATATAACATCAGTACAGACAGTAGAGGTCTATATAACATCAATACAGACAGTAGAGGTCTATATAACATCAGTACAGACAGTAGAGGTCTACATCAATACAGACAGTAGAGGTCTATATAACATCAATACAGAAAGTAGAGGTCAATGTAGTTGTTAACAAACCAGAAATGCACATTTCAAACAAATGTATGATCGTTTAAACAATATCAAGTAATAATCTTTCATAAAGCTAGGCATAAGTTAGATCTAACATGACACTATCCAAATTGGAACACTTTTTGAAGAAAATTGTAAAATATTATCTACCGAGTGTTTAACACTTGTATTTTTCTTGATATTTCACAAATAGGTTCTTTCAGCTTTCACTGCATGCTGTAGATATATGTCAGCTGTGTGTGTGTCTATAAATAGAAAACAAAAAGGCATTCCAGGTTCAGGAATGTATTTCAACAGGTAATGGTAACCCAAATAATAACTAGATGACATAATCTTAAATATATTTCTTCATTTGTTAAAAGTTCACTAAGATTTTCATTAATCTCAATAATTTATCTGTCAAAACTATTAATTTGAACAACACATTTTATAGTTTTGCAACATGATAGAATATTTGTGCTGTTGCATGGAATCGTTTCCCAGGATTTTTCTTACAATTTCATTTTGAAAATTTAAAATTGATGATAAGTAACAAAGAAGAAATGGACTGTTAAAATGCCATACTAATTCATAAATACCTTATTTTTTGTTGAGAATAGTTAATATTTATTTGTATTTCAAAATAAAAAGTATGCATCATATATTTCAGAAATGTTTCATTTTGGGTGTCGTCACGTTAGTACTTTCACTACTCTGTTTTCCTATGATCTTTTGTTACTCAAAATCATCACCACTCAGTCGCTTTCTCTAAATCAAAAGAGTTAATTTAAGTTTATTTGCCATTCTAGAATCATAGAGTGTTTTCCGGATATATGCCGGAGTAGTTCAGATCCGTTTCGATATTTAGAAAGTGTACCCTGTGTAATTCTGCCGTGCTCAATAGTCATAATCGCATTGGCTTTGCTAGAAAGGTGGAAATCAATCACGTAAATACCGATATTGCATCATGGCTGAACCCGAAGAACATGTGAAGGCAAATATACAGGAAGAAATTCGTGCACAAGGTGAAATAGTTCGTCAATTAAAAGCAGCGAAAGGAGACGCTGATAAGGTAAAAAGTTTTAATGACGAACCCTTCGACGAGTATTTCCGATTCTTACACAACGTGTGCGTAGCGGTAAAGCGTAGGGCACCGGGTCTATATAAATTTAAGACAGATGGAAGAAGATAATGTGATGACTGTTGGTCAGAAGTCCCTGTGTTGACAGCAACAATATCAGTCATATATATGTTCTACTGGTATATCTCCAAATCATTTCATATATAATTCTCAATGATGAATCCATCTCCGAGTCCCGGGACAAACGGTATGGACTAATATTTTCTAAATTGTCCCGTTGAAATCGGGGAATTTATCATGCTATATTGTAATGTACAGTACTGTATTGATAACCTTTTATTTATTTTCGTTGTTGTTGAAAATGGCCCGACGTTTTAAAATGAAGATGAATAATTGATTTCAATTTGATTATATCTATACGACAGTACCGCTGTTAAAATTATAAAAAGTATATTCATTTTGACTTGCTGGTCGCGATTGATATTGAGAACATCTTTTCATATTAAAAAAAAATTGTGCAAAGTTTGTAGGTTTTATATAACTTTAACATTGCAATGCCTTTCGATTAATATATTGATTTAAAAAAAAAAGAAACTGCTTCTAACATGTGTAAGTGTCAAAAGCCATCATTGGTCATTAACTGAATATATGACCTCATTTTTTCAACAACCAGAGTTTGAAGCACCTTTTGACAATGGCCAATATGAAAAAATCTCTCAAAATTTGTTCTTAACTCCAAACAGTATTTTTTTACAAGATTGGTGCCCAGGTTATATATATCAAAGATAGCAAAACAAATTTTGGATTGTCTGTTACGTAGAAAGCCACCAGATTTCTGTTAGGGGAAGATAATAAGTTGTTTTGGGACATCAGCTGAGTGTCTCAA